ATACATCATTTCTTTTACATAACAGACTGAACGTCCGCTATTTGTAAAAGTAAAGAACTTGGGGTGGGAATCTGCGTTACAATGTCCGTTACAAAGTCTGCGACATTAATGAGATATTTTCACATGTGTGTTTGTCTATCTGGCACGTAAAGTGGTTGCCAATACCTAAGTCTTCAGAAGAGTGTGCCTGCGTGCCACTGTGTATTTATTACAAGTACACACGTTTGATAATTATGTAATTAATGTTAATGTCGATACAAAAGGTTTAGTTGGTTTGGACTTTGGACTTATCAAATTGACGAATGAGAGAACTTTAAAAGATAAATAAAAAAAAAAAGAGTAAAAATATTAAAAAAAGTTACCTGCAAATAAATTAACTTAACAGAAAAAGTACAAAAGATTTTACGTGTATATAGAATAATGTCGGATCACAAAGAAAAAGAAGCGGGTACTTGTTTGATTATCTTTAACAATTATTGTCTGGTGATAGAAATAATGTAGGTAGGTGGCAATCTTTGCCACTTGCATAACCGCCAGTCAATACACAGACCGACAGGTGAAATAGTTAGGTCGAAAAATAGATAGTTAAGTAAAAAGTAGATAAGAACGCGAATCATTAGTGACTGACGTAGAAGTTGAAAGTTCAAGGTAGAAAGATACAAGAAGACAGAATGAGGAAGAGGCATTTGTCCACTTAACACGTGTCAAATGTCATTTCTTGAGTTATGTGTTTTTTTTTTTTTAATTATTTGAGTATTTAATGATTACTGTTGGGAATTTCTTTTAAATTAAAAGTTTTAATTAGCCAAATAATCACGCAAAAAAAAGTACAAAAATTACTGTTTAAATAATAAAGAAAGATTTTTCTGTATTAAAAATGTTAAAATAAATTGTGTGGGTGGAATGATATGATTAAACAAACTGAATCATTTGTTTACGAAAATAAAAAAAAATAAAATAAAATAAAAAACCTATGAAGATGTAATCGATGACTACACAAAAAGTGTGGGAGTGTTAGTCAGTCACTAGTAAAAATATAAAAAAAAAACTATTTGAAAGGTAACTCATAAGATTAACCAGTGAACTCAGAATTTATGTGTAACTTGCAAAGATTATTTTTTTTCAAAGTTATTTTCAAAAAGAAAATATGTAAAAAAAAACAAAAAAAATTAATTAAAAAAGTTTAACCAAAACAATTAAAAAATAAGATGAATATTTTTATAATTTTATTTATTTTACTGGAAAAAATTTTTTTTAAGTCAAATATTTATGGAAATAATTTATGAAATCGTATTTTTTTTTTGTTGTTGAATTATTTAAATAGAAAGATAAATATTACGATTTGAAAAAAATAATTAAAATTATTGTTTAATTAAGTTTCGAAATTTAAGAATTTATAGAAAAAACAAAACAAAACCTTTTCGGTGCGGCTGTGACAAGACATTCATTGGTCAACTCAAAAGTCCAAAAAAAAAAATTCACGCCCCCTCCCTCTACCTAAAAAAAATGCAGTTATGACTAACTCAACTTGAATTATTTATATAATACTTATAATTTTAGTAATACCAGATATTAAATTTTATAACCAATTAAAAATTAATTTACTTCCAATATTTTTTCTAAATTTCATCTAAAATTAAAAGAAAAAAAAAATGAGAGAGAGAGTGATCGATATTCTATTAAATTGTTCCTTGATTATTATCATCTTTTGCTTGCTGGTGATATATTTATCCACACGTCTACTGGTCCAGGCCAGGCCAGGTAGATAAGAGGCAGGTAGGTAAGTAAAGAAAGAGGAGACAAGGTACAAATTTAGATAGACATTCATGTGTCTGTGTGTGCGACCACGGCATGTGTACAGAACCAACTATAACAGCATTATAAGAGATGTTGAAACTATTTTAGTGTACATGTCATTATCTGTAGACATATGTACCTATGTATGGGTCTCTTAATGTATGTCTCTAATGACGGGGGTGGATACAGTGAAGTTTGAGACAGGTTACAATACAAGGGTTTCAGTTCATTTGATTGAAGTGAGGTCAATTCTTGACCCCACTACCACCAGCTTTATTTTAACAAGAGATATTGTCTCTAGCTCTCTCTACGCAAATAACTTTCTTAACATTGAAAGAAATATTTTGATAGTTAATAATTGTTATATTTTTTATAGTATGAGTCTTTTTCTTTTTCAAAATTGATGCTAAAAAAAAAAAAAATGAAAGTCGAATAAAAAATTCAGTGTAAGTTTGTCAGATCTAAAGTTCAAAGTTAAACTCTTCAAGAGGAAAAGAACACAAGTTATAAAAAAAAAGAAAATAAACGGTTTAAAACCCAAAATTATTATCGTAAAAATTAGAAATTGATTTATTTTTATCAGAAAATGAAATACAATGTATTTTTATTTTACTTTTGACGCCGTCTGTTAGCAACAGATTGACTATTCTCTAAAATAAATGAAATTTCTTCGTTTCTTGATAATTCTACACCAAAAAACGATTTTTAACTTACAAGACCAATTATTCCAAGAATGTTAGCACATAGATACATTAAACTTACATTTTAAGAAGAAAAAAAAGTAGTTACGCAAGACATCATTATACTACTTAGATACTAACACTACTAAAAGCAAAGCAGTTGTTGAGAGACTTAATTTTTGATACAGTGTACACACGCTTCTAACAGAAATGGACGATCAGAATTTTAAAACATAACTAGAAAATTAAGAATAAAAGACACAGAAGGTTTTGGGGTAGAATATCGGACATAGTTAGGTAACGAAGATTAGAATAAGGGTATTTAAAGGAATAAGTAAAAAGCGGGTCTCACACGAGGGGGTGATGTGCGCGCGAATACAGAAGAATGGCGCGCGTTTAAATTCCTTAACACACACGTCTTTTTGCTGGCGATTTTCAATGATTTACAAAACACTAGTCGAAATACAAAGGCATTCAAACATTATCAGATTCATCCACATACACTAGAGAATAACATTAATCGTAGTAACAATAGTGATAAACTATATCAATGCCGATTATTAACAAAAAAGAAAAAAAAGGACTTTGTTGAGCAGTGTAATTTGAGGTACTCGTTTTACTGCATGTGTGCTTGTAAAAGACACTTTCTTTCAGCAAACAAGAAAAAGGAAAATATCTTAAATTAGACGGATATGTAATTCTCAAAACTTGTTTTAGATTATTACTATTACTAAAGCAAGCAATATGTATTTATATAGATAGACTAAACATTTTTTTCATTTTTTCAACTGCCTTCTGTACACAATTTAAAAAACTGTCTTTTTAAAGATAATTCACATATTCTTTGTAAAATGTAAAGAATAGTTTTTTTTATAAATATAAAGGGGAAATCACAAAGTGTTCACATTGTTAAATATTTAAAAGTCTGGTTTAGGAAAAATTTTTATACGTCGTAATAACTGAACTTTTTTTTTTATTATAACAATGACCAACCAGTCTGAGAGACATTTAAATTCAGATTTTTTTTGTTCTTTCTTCCTATAATCAAACAAGAGGAAAATTAAAACGAAAATAAAGAAACAGTTATTTGAAATGTCGACACATCTTTTTATTATGAATTTTATATAAAACTCAAACAGGATTGTCTTCATTTTGATATGAACGGTTGAATTAAAATTAAGTCGTCTTTTTTTAATGGGATTTAAGAAGTAGAATTCTATTTTCAAATGAGAAAAAGATTTTTTTAATAGCACGAAATTTGAAAATGAGAATCATTTCTTCTCTATGATAAACTGTAGTGTAGACTTTTTTGTGCAGTTGCTTTAGAAGCAAGTGCGATTTTTATTCCAAATAAAAACACGAGTAGTTATGTAATTAATAATTACATACGAGACTAAGAATTCTATAGAAGTTATAATTAATATTTTAATTACCTTGTTGTATGTTATTTCTTGTTTGCTAATTACGATGGTTGTTATGTAAAAATATTAAAATTTTACGGAGTGAAAATATAAACAAACACAAACAAAAATAAAGTAATAATAAAAAAAAAAAAAAAAAAACTTTTTTCTTTATATATATATGTAATTTCCTTACCTTTCTTTCGATTTAATCCAAATTTTTAAAAGTTGTCCCTTTTTTCCGGGTTTGTTTTTACGGAGAAGAAGGAGGAAAGGTTTTGTTTTGTTCTGAGTTGACAAAAACTTTTCCTTCTTTTCTTTCTTCATAGAGATCCACTTTTCTTTGTAATTAATTTAAAAGTATAAAATCCAGAGTTGATGAAGGAAAACGAATTAAAAGAATCCACAAATTTGTCGGAAAGGGAAAAAAAAGAAACAAAATTAAATTTAAATTTTAAAAAAAAAGAAAAGAAAAAAAAGAGAGATCAAAATCTTTCTCTTTTTGTTTTGTATTTTTTGTTGTTGCTTTGTTGTTGTTTTCCCCCCCTTCTGTTTATATTCGAACACAACACAACTAAAGTGATGCTGACGAGATGTGAAGCTTATTTTTTAAAAATTAAAATTTCCAACCAGGATAAAAGAATAAATTAATCAAGAAATTTTTTTTTTATCCTGTAGTAAATAAATAAATAAAATAAATAATAATTTTTTAAAAATGTGTATGTAGTGCGACCATACACAGATATATGCCGATGTGTGATAGTAATATACGCAATTTTATATATATTTATATATATTATATGTATGTGTTTAAAAACTACTAATAATAAGGACTAAAGATCCACTTTGTATTTCCACGTTAAAAGCAAGTACTCGCCCCTCGCCATGTTGGTGATTATCAACTAATGGAGCTAGCACCTTTTTTCACCTTAATTTCTTCTTTCGAGAGGGCAAAAAACAGCAAAAAAACTCCTCTCCACGTCACCTTCCCTTCCGCAGACGTTAAGTGATGCAGTTGGGGCGGTTGTTATGGGCGATTTTGGTCGCTTATGGGTATTTTTTTCGAAGACACTAGTAAACAGAAATAAGTAAAACTAGTTTTGAAAGGTTTGTACGGTCGTCGATGTCAGCAATGACTGCGGCTGCTGCTGCTAAGATTGTTGTTTCTCTCCTCCCCTTCCCACCGTCCCCCACTCTCATCATTCTCATACCGTTTCCCTATCGTTTTCCCTCTGTATTTTCAACCGTGGTCTGTCTCTTCACACTCTTCCCCCTCTGTTTTCATTTCCTTTATCTCGATTCGTATCCCTCTGTCTCCTCTCTACTCCTAGCTCTTCCTCTTTACATCTTCTTTTTTTTCGCAACCACTCCCTATGTTAAGTTTAACCTTTCTACTTGCTCTCTCGTTTTTAAAGTCTTTCATTTTATGTCTCGTCTTCTCTTTTGATACCCTTTTTAACTTTTCTATCCTTTCCTTCAAACTTTGTATTTTTTAAAATAATAACTTACCCTCTCTAATATTGGCATTTACTACTCTATCGTTCTCGTCTACGTTTTATATTCTTTATTTTCCTATATCAACTTTTTTTCTTATACAGTCTATTATTTTGTTTTATTTTCGTCAACTCATTCTCTTCATTTTTCTTTTTATTCTATCCCTTCTTTTTCACCCTCTCCTGCTTTTATTGTACAAAAAAAAAAGCTTTCTCTTTGTAGTCTCTTTCACCCTCTCTGTTTGTCTGTATATCTTTCCTCTCTCTTTTCAGTGCGTCTTTGCTCTCCCCTCTAATACTTTATATAATCACTCACTGTCACTTATCTTTTCCCTCTCTAGAACTTTCTCATTATTTTTATTAGCGTCATCCTCTCTCTCTTTTTCTTTTCATTGCTGTATTTACACTTTTTCTTCTTTCACACTCTCCTATTTAAGTCTTTACTCTTTCTTTACCATTCTATTCCTGTTTCGCTTTCCCCACTCACTCGTATTACTTACATCTCTCTTTCCATAGCAACTACCACCACTTTCTCTATTAATGTCTCCACCTTATTAAGTCACCTTCTCTCGTCACTCGTTGGGCTTTCTCTCTTTTTCTCACTTCTTTATATAAATTTCTTATTTTATACTCGCTGCCACTTTTTTCTCTTTCTAAAACCTCATTCCATTTTCATCTCCATCACAACTCCCCGCTCTTTTATTTCTTGTTTTCCTCCTTCTCTTCCTTGTGTCCCTCTCTATTTATTTACACTCTCACGCTCTCTAACACTCTTTAACCATTTTTTTCTCTTTGCATGCTCTTGTTTCCCTGTCTCTCTTCATGCAGACAGACATCTCCCTTACTTTGCCTTTATTGTCTTCTCTTCTTCCTCACTATCACTTTCTCCTCTCTTTTATTTATTTATTTTTTTTTTTTTGACATCTTTCTTTTTCTTAATAACGGCTTTCTCTCTTTCTTTTTTTCCCACCTAATCCGTTATTTTTTTTTAACTTTTTATGTGCTCTATAATTATGTCTTCTTTTTTTCCTTATCGCACTCTCTTTCCCTCTGGGCTTTTTTTTTTTATCTTGTCTTCTCTTTCCCTACTCCCTCTCACTATTTATTTATTCCCTCCGCCACTTTCACATTCAGAGTTATCTCCCCTTACCCTTTGTTTTTGCTGAGTAATAGTAGTAGTAGTAATGTCATGAGTAGTCGTAATAATAGAAAAATAGAGATGGTGGCAGTAGCGCCTAGTGATACGCGGATTGTAAAAGCTTTGTTAATGTTTGTTTAATTGTTCTTTAAGTCGTTAAAATCCGTCCAAGTGTTCCTTATTTATGATTAAAATAAACATTGGCATTCTTGATTTATGGATTAAAAGTTTAATTTAGACTAAACATTTTTTTATTTGATTTCTCTGTCTTTTTCGATTATATCGGAATATTACGAAGACGTTTTATTACAACCTCCGCCGGAGTTTATTTTATTTGGGTCTCTCCGCTAAAGTTAAAAAAATAAAATAAAATTAAAAATCGGTCTCAATTCCAAGTGATAATTACCATATTAGATTATTAGTTTATTTTATTATACTTTATTAAAAGCAACGAGAAAGAAAAAAAAAAAAAAGAAGAATTTTTAATAAACAAGAACAAAATCTAACTTCGGCATTGTCCGGAAGTCGAAACAATGATGACTGTTCGAAAGGTATCGACATTCGGCAAAACTCGGCAAAGCAATAGTAACCGTCATATTTTTTGAGTTTCTTACTTTTTTCTTTTTTTTTGCTAATGTTTCTTTTCTTCTTTTTTTTTTCTTTTTTCAAATAAACACCTTTAATCGGAAGTTCTTTTGTATTTTTAGGTATTTCGAAGTAGTTTAATTTTAAAATAACGTTATATTAAAAAATGAACTTGTATATAGTTGCACTTGAGTTATATCTGAAGGAAGGTGGCGGTTCTAATGGAGTTGTGCCTGTTTTCAGACGAGGCAAATGTAACTCTTGTCTCTGAGTGAATCTTTTTAATATTCATAGTGTAGGTACTGCTCCTATCACAACGTTACTATGGGAATGGACATCGCTATCAGAATCAGTGTGTGTGTGCGAAAAGACAAAATTTATCATTTGTGCGTGAGTGTGTGTAGGTCATAATAATGCGTATCTATGTTTCAGACTTAATGTGTGTGTGTGTGTGTGAATAATACTAGGTTATAAAATAGTACACATGCTTATTGCAATTAATGCACAAAATATGTAACATTTTATGCACATTTCTGTGTGTATTTTGATTTCCATGAAATTATGTTGTATTTAATTAAAATTAATAAATCCCATTGTAATGTACACATCTGTTAAGAAGCTTATCAATTTATTCAAGTCGTATATGCATGTGCTTGAATGAAAAATTAATAAATTCGTTGTATAGATAGAGGAATAGTTTTAAGGTCAATCTGCTTCAATATAATAGTCTTTATTCCTTAGAAAAAAAAAACTCTACAAAAATGACATACATGCTGTCAAACATTCGATTAATGTGGGTTTGTCGAGGTGGAGTAATGGTTAACGAGCTATTCTGAGAAGTGAGTTCGATCCTCCCTGAGTGTCCCATATTTGTAACAGCATTTAAAAAATTAATAACTGTCTGCAGTGCGTACAGTTGAATACGTGTAAAATACATCAGCTCGGTTTTTATAGACATGTGAATGAAAATATGCATGCAAAAAATTGGAAAGCATTTTTTTTATGGCCGGAAAAAATGCATATTGCCAAAAATGCGTATCTTATTGTTTGTTTGTTTGTGTGTCTGTGTGTGTGTGATATATATATATATATAAATATGAGAGAGAGAGAGAGAGAGAGAGACGATGAATTGCAAACAGTTGATTAACTAATGAAGAACAAAGCTAATATTCTAAGAGATTGAATATAATTCCGAAATGTTAATAATATTTAAGATCGATTTAATTAATTTATGGCACGGTTCTTCTTTTCTCCACCACCCAATTCTTTCTCGTACGTATGTACAGGCCCTTGGGAAGATTGACCATATATATGTAGTAGTGATTATTTTATTGACTGGGCGGTAATTAACTCATCAACTCCATTATCCGTCAATCATTATGACTTGCGAGACAAGACATTTTTTGAAGATATCTAACGGGAGGACAGGGCAACAATAAATAAATAAAATAAAAAAGAAGCAATGTCACTTCCCGCATCGCACGACACATAAGACAATCGCTTAAAAAAAAAAAAAAAAAATTTCTGGAACTATCCATGGTAACCGAATCACTTTTTGTAACAACTGTGATTTTATTTTTTTTTATTTTTTATTTTTATTTTTTATTTTTGTACGGGACGAAAGTGCTAAATTGATGTTAAAAATTAACTGTTCTACAGAGCGAAAAGTTACCACCCTGCTTAAAATATATGAATAGCTAAAGGAAATAGTGGATTCATGCCTATTCGCAGGATTGATTCATTTGTTTTCTACGGCTTATCAAACCTTTGCAGGTTATTTAAATCCAGAAAATTTTATCTTTAGATTGTAAGAATTTTCTTTTGCGATAACAATGGTTTAGGGTATTTTTCAGCGCGCCCACGTCGGTCCTGAATGTGACAGAAAGTCAAGGGTTAAAAGTGAGTTTCAAAGCAAAATCGTACAAAAAATTGCCCAAGCCCCCGCTCGGCAATTCCCCTTTTGGGGACGCCTCAGATGCCGGCCAATAAACTCAGCCCCCTCCCGAAGGATAATAATGGTGGATTCATGCCTTTCCTAAGGGTATCTGCGCGTAAGTGAATATAACGGGAATTGGAAATCGACTCTCCGGTTAACAATTCCGCGCTATTATCCATTACACCACCCGCACATCCAAGCTTACAGCATTTGGTATTCCCAAGAGGTCATTTCCCAGGTGTACTGTTACGAAGTTTGAACTCGCTTCAGCTACTTCAATATTCATAATGTTAACCGTTTGATCACACGCATCTTCTACGGAACAGAGTTCAGGGAGAGATCGATTTATGCCTTTCCGTAAGACATTAGTGCTAAGTTGTCATAAACAACCTCAGCTTGCTAATAGAGAAAGTGTGTGTTTCCTACCAGCATCATTAGTCAGCTTTTAGCCGAGTTGGAACACTATGATTTCGCATATTAATTTTTTCTATAGACACAGGGAACTATATTGTTAAGAATTCAAGCATTAGTAATGTGATGTTCCAGAATCATTTTATAGGCATCTCCTATGTAGACCACATCACAAATGTTGCAGTGCGAGATATCATCAGATATGAAATAGGCCAATTGGAAAACCACATAATCACAGCCAAGAAGAGAAAGTTGAAATGGAATAGACATATCATAAGAGCCAACAATCTATTATAACGTTATCCTATAACGTTAAGTAAAATAAGAGGCTGACAGATGTAAAAAAAAGGGCTGAGTGGACTTGATGACCTTTTACAGAGACTCAGACATTGGGATGGAACTGAGACATATGAAGGGAGATAATCAGGTGTCCAACAGAGTAGTAACCCTACAGCCCTACCTGATCATAAGACTGATGAGGGTATAGGCAGGTCATCTTCATTTAGACGTTTGTCACAGTATAATATTGTATCACCAATTTCCCCATACTTGGATCAAGATAAGATCGTTGTTCGTTCCAGTCGAGATTGCTAAATTTCCACCTTTCCCAAATTTATAGACGAATCCTAGAGATGCTGGGATAGCCAAATAAAAAGGAACAATTCTTTGTCTTACTCATACGTTTTGTTCATTCTGGTCTTGAAACCAGAAATCTAAAACCACTTGAGCGTAACCAAATTTGCGTATGTGTACTGTTTTTTTTATTGTCTGATAATTGCTTTCCTTTGCCCTGCATTACCTTGCATTGTCTTGTATTTTTTTATCATGCCACCTCAAGTAAGGCAATAAAGCTACCAAGACGCAAAGGGTTACTGTGAAAGAATATGAGAAAAAGAAGAACATTATTAAGGAGAGAGAACAATAAAAGAGGAATTAAAAAATAAAAGATAACGATTGACATTGCATTTAAATTTTTGAAGATCAAGGTTAACTGGAAAGCAAGAGGCCAGAAGAGAGTTCCACAAGCCAGAAATGCGAGACAAGAAACTGTTAGCATAGAACTTACGGTTATATCTAGCTATTTCAGCTGTCAAATGATGAGACTTAACTGAGAATCTGGTGCCGCGCTTATATTCATAAAATCGAGGTAACAAAGAGGAAAGACCATCAGAAAAATTACCATGAAAATATTCATAGAAATGGCAGAGGGAAGCTACCTTGCGGTGATGGGAAAGTGACTGAAGCCGATATGCCAGATCAGGACCAATAACATTGCAGATTTTTCTTTGGATTTAATAGACAGTTATGTGCCATGCGTGATTCACGCTTAGGTGATCATGTATCTTTCGATACATGACTGATGAGGCAGATTTTTTCCCGCAGTAGGTTGCCATTACTTTCTGCGATAGACCAGTTTCCATCCAAGACTATAGAACCCGGTATGCCCTGCTATTTACCCATAGCTGGGGAGGGGAGAAGAAGATGATTGATACCTTTCCCAAGAAAGTGAATGCAATGGATTCGACTGGAATTCGAACTTGGCTCTACCGATTCCTCAGTCTTTAAATACATGGCAGAAGTATCAGACCAGATGTAACAGCAATATTCAATGCATGAAGAAATGATAAACTTTATCTATCTATCTATCTATCTATCTATCTATCTCTCTCTCTCTCTCTCTATATATATATATATATATATATATATATATATATATATAGATTCTGGCTAGAAAAATTGTCTATCACGACACTGTGAACCAACTTGCCTAGGAACAGACAAAGCAACTGATTCAATATAATCTTTACACTTTATGTCAGCTGAAAACGTATTATTTTCTCTTGTTTTTAATATTATTGTTGCTAATAAGAATTTTGTCAATTCCACTTAAAAATTCCCGCATA